AGGGTGTAGGCTTTCTGACTTATAATCCCATAACAAACAAACGTCGAGATACCAAGAAGGCGCTTTATATAAGACACCATACAAAACAGACAGATAAACTGCAAGGAAACCATTTCAACCGAGCTTAAAAGTAAGAAATTACGAGTGGAACGAATCATTGGGGGAATTGTGACCGCAAAGTTATTTCCAAACGAAAAATGCCGCTCCTGGAGTGACGTGGTATTGCGCATGTTCTGCCCTTAAATCGAACACAATGTCCTGACATCTGGTGCACATTTCACGATATTTTTATGAGAACTTGGAGGTGATATGTCGGTACTTTCTTTGTTAAGAAACCCGGCTGGTAACCATACTACCTGTGGTTTCTTAATCACTCCGACAGCTCCCTTAAACCGTGATAATTTACAACAAAAAAGATTCCGCTACTCGAGGTTCGCTGCAAAAGGGTGGGAAATTTAGCGAAATCCGGCCAATTCTGCAAAAATGCAACGACTTCAAAAATATCATTGACAACACGCGCAAAAACAAGTTCTAATAGCAGTAACGTTCGCTGTAGATCGTTTCAATGTGGGATACAAGTCTCCATCAGATAACAAAGACCCAAAGCGGAACATCCAATCAACAAATTTTCTGCACTCGTCAGTATAGCTCAACCGCAAGTTAACTGTTATAGCTGCACTACAGCTCGTGACGTTTTGCTAATTCCCGCGCTCATTTTTTCCATGAGATCTGCGCTGCGCAATCCATGTACCTCATTGAGAGCTTTGTTGAAGTTCAAGGCACGAAAAACGACGGCATTGTTGAAATGTAACGCTGTCGTGTTGACCGTTTGACAGTCACAATCGGCGCGGTCTGTTTGTGGACAGTATCGATTTCTGTGCGCATTCTCCGATCGGCCTAATCTCAGCGAGAGAAAGTCCTGCTAATTACTTGTGATACGACAAACCTGTGCCGCGACGTGAAACCCTACCGTTTTCTATCTTTTAATCCTCGGAAATGTACCCAAGAACTTACGAGTTTGTTCAGCCTAACTCGTATTCTTACGCTCCACAGAATTTTCCAGGAGCACTGCACTATGCTTACGGCTATTCCCAACCGCGATGCACTAACTACAGCTCACTTCTACAGCCACAGGCTCAGCAGCCAAGAGCGCAGTATCCTCCGCCTCGGCTATCGCACCCAACCGATCAACAGAGCGGACATCACCGCAGTCAGACAGAAGATCGTCCTTCGTGCATGCTTCAAGAAATTTGGAGACCAAACTTGAGCTGTTCTAGAAGTGATCGTGAGCAGTACGAGCAGGAAAACGACGCAGAATCGGTCGAGGACGGTGTCACAGGTAACTGCCGCGATTGATTTGGTTTTCACGCAAAATGCTCGACTCATCGCCATGTTTTAAACGGAATAATCTCGTAAAAATCACAACAGAAATTCTTGACTGCGTTGTTGGGCTTCCCTCGACAACAGCGCTAGTAAGTTAATGTTATTTTCAAACTAGCTCTAGCAGGAACAAAGAGGTTGCGTGCGCTTGCAGAGGAGACTACATGAAACTGGAAAATTACTTCTGCCTTACATCACAGCGAACAGAATGCTCGTAGTGTAGTCAGTCACAAGTTTAGAAGTGATAAAAAATTATTTGATTTTAAAAGATTATACCAGGTTGTTAAAAGACAAAAATTTACCACGGTCCTTGTTTGCACGACATTTCCTAGTCTACCTCGTGCTTCTGAACTGTCACCATTTATGTATCACAATTAATTTGTTCGCAAGCTAATTTACGTTAGCGAAATCGCCTAATTAACACTTTTTATTTATTCTGTAGTGATTGCTTTTCAGTAATCGATAATCAAATTAGGAAAATAGACTAGAATTGGTTTGCAGCTCATCAAAATGTTTGACAGTTCCAATTGATCACCTCGACAGATCTAATGGCCAAAGATTGTGTGGTTTGGAGCTTATCTTGAAAGAATGCTTTCCTTTCTAACAGCCCAACTGCTGGAAAAGAAACTGGCTCTTATTAGGTATTATTTTATTTGGGTGGACACTTCTCGATCGGGGATAAGAACACAATCAGAACTCAGACAGTGCAGTGGAAGTCCATTGTTCAATGCATCTAAATGCTGACATTTAGATGTCTTAGGTACTGTAAAAACTTTCCAATTGCTAAAACACAAATGCAGTGTGCATTTTAATCTTGAAAATGCAACGCTTTGGAATACTATAAGTAATGCTTAATAGTATGTTAGGGTTATCAGTGGTGTGGTGTGAAGGAAATGAACAGAATGAATAACAAAATGTTGAGTTATCTAACCTGTTCTTACTATCCATAGGAGCTTTTCGTTAGAATCATAAACCTGAACATGACCGACAGTATAGACAGAAATGCTACACATTTTAACTATCTTTCATTGTTAAAGCATCGATCTTTCTTCAAATGAAAGCGCCATTATCAAGGCTTCAGACACAGTACATTAAATTAGTCGGCCAAAAGAACGGAACTGCCAAACTCCCGTTCATCACCATGGACTGATCACATCCATTCCAGTTCTCTCGTAACATATCCAATTCTGTGGTTTTGGCAATTACCAAACGCTGCCTTTTTTTAATGCTCTGCTGAAATTAGAAATCAGCTACCGGAATAGCTAACCGTCTCAAGAGAATAAATACTCGTGTTCAGTTGATGATAGCTTCAAGAGGCTTAAATTAAACAATTAGGATCTTACTTGGTTGTGCAATTCTTTGGTGGCTACTGAGCACTCTTTGAAATTATCACTTGGTCTGAACCAGTTCTAGACAAGTGATCACTAAAATACAAAGAATACTTGAGAATATGTTTCACCACAAACAAACTTCGCGATTTCTTAAAAAAAAAAAAAAAGAAGCAGACAAAAATAAATACACTCCAATTTAAAGAAGTCACGAAGGTCTTCGTTGACAACGCTCCTACAGGGCTGATGTCTGTTTACAAATTAGTAATTGAAAGAGCAACAACAGATTTGAAACGTTTCAAGGTTCAAAAACAGAATAAAAGTTACTGTTTTGTGGGATAAACATTGCTACGTTGATAAAGGCAAAATATTTGGATATATTTATAAACTTAGCTATTCTCCAGAAACTTGGGTCGAATATTTGCCTCGTGTATTCAAACTAGCAGATGCATTATACTTAGAAAATATGTGTTCGAAAAGGAAGCAAATTTTTCAAATTAACAAAGCAGTTTCTTCAAATTTCTTGTCAACGTAACTTTCCTTTCGGTGTCGTGGGATAAAGACCTTATTTACAGCATTGAAAATTTCTGTCAATGAGGAACCGTGGGCCATTGGAACCGCAGAGCTGACACCCTTAAAAGCTTTCATTTGAAGTAGCTTCCTTGCACGTAAAAACCTTCTCTTTCTTATTGTTTGAATGTGTTGCTGACACTTCTGCTCCCATGAAGAATGCACATTTGACACATTTGGAGCTAAACATTGCAACACTGCAAAATGGCATCTATACACATTGACACACCATTGTGTTGTTTAAACGCGCAAGAAATTGTAGTTTGCTACAGGGCTGTCTGGGAAACTAAAGCTACAGGTTTTGGCTTTTAAGCGGTTTCAACTCAGCTATAGCTGTTTGTTAGATATACAGAGATTAAAACAATTAAATCAAATCCTGTGATTTTGTCTCCGAAAAGAAATACAGAGTTGGCAGTGCTCTAACAGTCAAAAGCGATCCGATTGTCAGACTTACAATAGAAGAAAGAAATCATTGTTACTAGTAATGGAAGAATCCTAGAATGATATCCACAAGCTTAAATCAGTTTCATTTTAAGACCTTTGTGGAGTATCGCAGGATTGGAAATAACTTACAGGGAACATTCATCCCTCGACACCACAATAAAGGTCTCCGCTTTTCAACACCAATTTCCCAAACCTGTGGGACAGTTACCTCTTTAAGGTCCGCTAAAGACGTTCATTGACACAAAACCACAGAGGGAGTTGTCTCCTTTTAGCACTGAGGCAAATATCAACGGAAAACAACACTGCTCGACCACAAAAATGTTGATTTTAGCGGAGTTCTAAAGAAGCGGTTAGGAAGGGAGGGCTTCAAAAGGCACCGAACTTCATCCCGACAAAGTCAGACCCCATGACACACTGTTCAGACAATTGCTGAGCTACCTTCCTGCACACCAGAGGAGTTTTTTGAATAGTCCTCAGTTTAGTAAAGCCAAACTAGCCAGCAACAGCTAGATTACAGAAAAGACTTGGCGAGACTTTATCACCAAATAACTGTTTAACGGCAGCGCGTACTAAAACAAACGTCAACTAAGGAGGCCCATCTGAAAGTCATCAAAATGACGTTTCTACATATTTCGGTTTCAAAAATTACAACAGACAGCACAGGTTTCTCCTAATTTGTTTACGCAACTTTGAATGTTGAATGGGCAAAACAGTTTGATAAGGATTTGTCTTCTTGCTACAGACTTGCTATAGAAATAAGAGAAATGGAAACGCTCTGAGTAAATACGATTAGAGGGACAAATGCCCCGAGGCAAAGTTGAAAGATGAGTGATAATCTTTGTTCAGTATACGTGCGTTTGTTGACTGGAGGTTGGAGAGAGAAGTTTCAGAAAAAAATAAANACAGCCTGGGCCGGAAGAACAATATTCTTATAAAGGGATTATCATAACTAGACAATATCTGTCAAGTCTGTCAAGGGAACTCCATGAAAGTTAAGTGCTCAACGAACTGATCAACCAGTACCTTTTTCACCCTGCACAAATAGACTGTCTCTACATAAAGAGCCAAGCATTCCGTCCAAGAGTGCGACGTTTTAAAGCCGAATTACATCGCACAGCATTCGAGTTTCGAGGCATTAAGTAAAGGGTGTAGGCTTTCTGACTTATAATCCCATAACAAACAAACGTTGAGATACCAAGAAGGCGCTTTATATAAGGCACCATACAAAACAGACAGATAAACTGCAAGGAAACCATTTCAACTGAGCTTAAAAGTAAGAAATTACGAGTGGAACGAATCATTGGGGGAATTGTGACCGCAAAGTTATTTCCAAACGAAAAATGCCGCTCCTGGAGTGACGTGGTATTGCGCATGTTCTGCCCTTAAATCGAACACAATGTCCTGACATCTGGTGCACATTTCACGATATTTTTATGAGAACTTGGAGGTGATATGTCGGTACTTTCTTTGTTAAGAAACCCGGCTGGTAACCATACTACCTGTGGTTTCTTAATCACTCCGACAGTTCCCTTAAACCGTGATAATTTACAACAAAAAAGATTCCGCTACTCGAGGTTCGCTGCAAAAGGGTGGGAAATTTAGCGAAATCCGGCCAATTCTGCAAAAATGCAACGACTTCAAAAATATCATTGACAACACGCGCAAAAACAAGTTCTAATAGCAGTAACGTTCGCTGTAGATCGTTTCAATGTGGGATACAAGTCTCCATCAGATAACAAAGACCCAAAGCGGAACATCCAATCAACAAATTTTCTGCACTCGTCAGTATAGCTCAACCGCAAGTTAACTGTTATAGCTGCACTACAGCTCGTGACGTTTTGCTAATTCCCGCGCTCATTTTTTCCATGAGATCTGCGCTGCGCAATCCATGTACCTCATTGAGAGCTTTGTTGAAGTTCAAGGCACGAAAAACGACGGCATTGTTGAAATGTAACGCTGTCGTGTTGACCGTTTGACAGTCACAATCGGCGCGGTCTGTTTGTGGACAGTATCGATTTCTGTGCGCATTCTCCGATCGGCCTAATCTCAGCGAGAGAAAGTCCTGCTAATTACTTGTGATACGACAAACCTGTGCCGCGACGTGAAACCCTACCGTTTTCTATCTTTTAATCCTCGGAAATGTACCCAAGAACTTACGAGTTTGTTCAGCCTAACTCGTATTCTTACGCTCCACAGAATTTTCCAGGAGCACTGCACTATGCTTACGGCTATTCCCAACCGCGATGCACTAACTACAGCTCACTTCTACAGCCACAGGCTCAGCAGCCAAGAGCGCAGTATCCTCCGCCTCGGCTATCGCACCCAACCGATCAACAGAGCGGACATCACCGCAGTCAGACAGAAGATCGTCCTTCGTGCATGCTTCAAGAAATTTGGAGACCAAACTTGAGCTGTTCTAGAAGTGATCGTGAGCAGTACGAGCAGGAAAACGACGCAGAATCGGTCGAGGACGGTGTCACAGGTAACTGCCGCGATTGATTTGGTTTTCACGCAAAATGCTCGACTCATCGCCATGTTTTAAACGGAATAATCTCGTAAAAATCACAACAGAAATTCTTGACTGCGTTGTTGGGCTTCCCTCGACAACAGCGCTAGTAAGTTAATGTTATTTTCAAACTAGCTCTAGCAGGAACAAAGAGGTTGCGTGCGCTTGCAGAGGAGACTACATGAAACTGGAAAATTACTTCTGCCTTACATCACAGCGAACAGAATGCTCGTAGTGTAGTCAGTCACAAGTTTAGAAGTGATAAAAAATTATTTGATTTTAAAAGATTATACCAGGTTGTTAAAAGACAAAAATTTACCACGGTCCTTGTTTGCACGACATTTCCTAGTCTACCTCGTGCTTCTGAACTGTCACCATTTATGTATCACAATTAATTTGTTCGCAAGCTAATTTACGTTAGCGAAATCGCCTAATTAACACTTTTTATTTATTCTGTAGTGATTGCTTTTCAGTAATCGATAATCAAATTAGGAAAATAGACTAGAATTGGTTTGCAGCTCATCAAAATGTTTGACAGTTCCAATTGATCACCTCGACAGATCTAATGGCCAAAGATTGTGTGGTTTGGAGCTTATCTTGAAAGAATGCTTTCCTTTCTAACAGCCCAACTGCTGGAAAAGAAACTGGCTCTTATTAGGTATTATTTTATTTGGGTGGACACTTCTCGATCGGGGATAAGAACACAATCAGAACTCAGACAGTGCAGTGGAAGTCCATTGTTCAATGCATCTAAATGCTGACATTTAGATGTCTTAGGTACTGTAAAAACTTTCCAATTGCTAAAACACAAATGCAGTGTGCATTTTAATCTTGAAAATGCAACGCTTTGGAATACTATAAGTAATGCTTAATAGTATGTTAGGGTTATCAGTGGTGTGGTGTGAAGGAAATGAACAGAATGAATAACAAAATGTTGAGTTATCTAACCTGTTCTTACTATCCATAGGAGCTTTTCGTTAGAATCATAAACCTGAACATGACCAACAGTATAGACAGAAATGCTACACATTTTAACTATCTTTCATTGTTAAAGCATCGATCTTTCTTCAAATGAAAGCGCCATTATCAAGGCTTCAGACACAGTACATTAAATTAGTCGGCCAAAAGAACGGAACTGCCAAACTCCCGTTCATCACCATGGACTGATCACATCCATTCCAGTTCTCTCGTAACATATCCAATTCTGTGGTTTTGGCAATTACCAAACGCTGCCTTTTTTTAATGCTCTGCTGAAATTAGAAATCAGCTACCGGAATAGCTAACCGTCTCAAGAGAATAAATACTCGTGTTCAGTTGATGATAGCTTCAAGAGGCTTAAATTAAACAATTAGGATCTTACTTGGTTGTGCAATTCTTTGGTGGCTACTGAGCACTCTTTGAAATTATCACTTGGTCTGAACCAGTTCTAGACAAGTGATCACTAAAATACAAAGAATACTTGAGAATATGTTTCACCACAAACAAACTTCGCGATTTCTTAAAAAAAAAAAAAAAGAAGCAGACAAAAATAAATACACTCCAATTTAAAGAAGTCACGAAGGTCTTCGTTGACAACGCTCCTACAGGGCTGATGTCTGTTTACAAATTAGTAATTGAAAGAGCAACAACAGATTTGAAACGTTTCAAGGTTCAAAAACAGAATAAAAGTTACTGTTTTGTGGGATAAACATTGCTACGTTGATAAAGGCAAAATATTTGGATATATTTATAAACTTAGCTATTCTCCAGAAACTTGGGTCGAATATTTGCCTCGTGTATTCAAACTAGCAGATGCATTATACTTAGAAAATATGTGTTCGAAAAGGAAGCAAATTTTTCAAATTAACAAAGCAGTTTCTTCAAATTTCTTGTCAACGTAACTTTCCTTTCGGTGTCGTGGGATAAAGACCTTATTTACAGCATTGAAAATTTCTGTCAATGAGGAACCGTGGGCCATTGGAACCGCAGAGCTGACACCCTTAAAAGCTTTCATTTGAAGTAGCTTCCTTGCACGTAAAAACCTTCTCTTTCTTATTGTTTGAATGTGTTGCTGACACTTCTGCTCCCATGAAGAATGCACATTTGACACATTTGGAGCTAAACATTGCAACACTGCAAAATGGCATCTATACACATTGACACACCATTGTGTTGTTTAAACGCGCAAGAAATTGTAGTTTGCTACAGGGCTGTCTGGGAAACTAAAGCTACAGGTTTTGGCTTTTAAGCGGTTTCAACTCAGCTATAGCTGTTTGTTAGATATACAGAGATTAAAACAATTAAATCAAATCCTGTGATTTTGTCTCCGAAAAGAAATACAGAGTTGGCAGTGCTCTAACAGTCAAAAGCGATCCGATTGTCAGACTTACAATAGAAGAAAGAAATCATTGTTACTAGTAATGGAAGAATCCTAGAATGATATCCACAAGCTTAAATCAGTTTCATTTTAAGACCTTTGTGGAGTATCGCAGGATTGGAAATAACTTACAGGGAACATTCATCCCTCGACACCACAATAAAGGTCTCCGCTTTTCAACACCAATTTCCCAAACCTGTGGGACAGTTACCTCTTTAAGGTCCGCTAAAGACGTTCATTGACACAAAACCACAGAGGGAGTTGTCTCCTTTTAGCACTGAGGCAAATATCAACGGAAAACAACACTGCTCGACCACAAAAATGTTGATTTTAGCGGAGTTCTAAAGAAGCGGTTAGGAAGGGAGGGCTTCAAAAGGCACCGAACTTCATCCCGACAAAGTCAGACCCCATGACACACTGTTCAGACAATTGCTGAGCTACCTTCCTGCACACCAGAGGAGTTTTTTGAATAGTCCTCAGTTTAGTAAAGCCAAACTAGCCAGCAACAGCTAGATTACAGAAAAGACTTGGCGAGACTTTATCACCAAATAACTGTTTAACGGCAGCGCGTACTAAAACAAACGTCAACTAAGGAGGCCCATCTGAAAGTCATCAAAATGACGTTTCTACATATTTCGGTTTCAAAAATTACAACAGACAGCACAGGTTTCTCCTAATTTGTTTACGCAACTTTGAATGTTGAATGGGCAAAACAGTTTGATAAGGATTTGTCTTCTTGCTACAGACTTACTATAGAAATAAGAGAAATGGAAACGCTCTGAGTAAATACGATTAGAGGGACAAATGCCCCGAGGCAAAGTTGAAAGATGAGTGATAATCTTTGTTCAGTATACGTGCGTTTGTTGACTGGAGGTTGGAGAGAGAAGTTTCAGAAAAAAATAAAGAAACTTCCTTTGTAAGCTGCTAACTTCTGTTTTTCCTTCTTTGCCAAGAATATGAAATGTGCTGCTTTGCATTCACTTCTTTTATCTAGATATATACCTGGCACAATTTCAGTTGTCGATAACCTTCAATTAAGCATTTTATTCCTGCAACCAACACCCGCAAGGCGTCCTTCAAACCGTATGCATAATATCAGAAAATGCCCCTTGTAAAATTCTGACCTCAAAATTTGTTCTGAAGTTGAAGTTTGGCTTCTGTACTAAGCTGCTGCCTCGACTGGCGAATACACAGAGCTGCCCAAAAAGTTAATGTGCCAAACTGGTGTCTTGTTTAGATTCTTAGATGTACGTCACAAGAACAAAGTACAGAGCAAACCGTTCGGCCAGGATATGGCAAAATACTATTAAGCGTACTCAAAACGTAGTAAGCAATCTTTTGAAAGTCAGTAGTCAAACAAATTCGTCAATAGATACACAAATCTCGGCAGTGTTCAGTCTCACTAGCTGGCCATTTCATTTAGGAACTTCAGGCTGACCCTCTACACTACTTACACTCTGCCGCGTCACCAGGTTCGTCAGAGCGCCTTCCTTCATCGGTTTTCACGGCGGCTTCCTTTTTCTCCGGGATCATTGATCAGGAGGACTCTTTCTGCTTCGTTGTGCGACCACTACGACCACTTAACCATCCTCCTCTTCGATCTGCGCCGCGAAGAGATACTAGACACTTATGCTGCGCTCAAGCATGCATATAGAGTCTGTGTTTTGAGTTATAAGCACTCAAAACAAAAACCTAGACTGGAAAGGCCATTAAAAAGCCACAGCAGAGATTTTCCGTTTAAATGACTTTAACATCTGATTTAATTTCTTGTGAGTGGATCAAAAAGAAGTTGATTTTGTAGACACCCTGTCGCGCCTCCCAGCATTCGCCGACTTAAGCTGTTTTCGTGTTCTCTTTGTTTTTTTTGCACAGATTCACCTTCTTCGGAGGAAAAAACGAGAGCATCCACTGACAGCAAGAAGCGGAAAGAAAGAACAGCTTTCACGAAACATCAGCTCGAAGAGCTTGAAAACGAATTTCTTCGCAACAATTACCTGACAAGATTGCGGCGGTACGAGATTGCGGTGAGTTTGGACTTGACCGAGAGACAGATAAAGGTTTGGTTTCAAAATAGACGAATGAAGTGGAAGCGAATCAAGGGCAAACCGCTCCAAAAGAAGAGTAGTTATTCCGTTGAGCTGGCTGAGAGAGAAACGGCAACTTAATTACAGTAACAAAGAGAAACGAAATGAACTGTGATCTAGCCTCTTGGCTTGTTTGAAAAAAGAAAAAGAAACTGTATTTGGATGGACTATGAAATGAAGGAGAGAAAGGCTAAGCTTAAATTCAAGCATTATTTAGAAGTTTGAGCAAACAAAGGACAAAAGTACATTTTTGATCATGGACAAAAGAGGAAACATATGTAAATGACAAATCACTGGCAATTCATCTTTGTCATTTAAAGTAACTGAAATGCCTTAAAACAATTGGCTACAGTTTTCGGATGGAATTGTGATAAGAAAAAGCAGCGGTGGAAAAAGAAATGCAACTGCCTGGATTTCTGGCTGGTTATTTTTTGCAAATTAAATTTGCAAATTAAATTTGCAAATTCCCCACTGGAAAAATCATTTTTTCATGGCATGACTTCCGAATGTGTTAAACAAAACTCCAATCCTTTATTTTGCCTCGCAGAATGGCACATTTTTATTTGTAGGTAAAAAGCGCTGCGTTTTACAGTTAGGTAACTGGTGACTGTATAGTTCGTATTCAGAGAAATAATTTTCCTCAAAGCTGAATTCGCTGCATAAAGGTTCGAGTTTCTTCGTAATGTTCTCGTCCAATGTGATTTAATGTAGATAGGCCAAGTTTTTGAGAGACTGAGTTGTTTCGCTTGTTTTTGCATGTATTATTTTGTTGTTGTTGTCTCCCTCAGGATTTTTCTTGTTCACCTTGAACAACAAAGTTCGTATATAACGTCCAACTAAAGCTTGATGCGTAACAAAGATGAGCCATTCCGTGCAGTCAACGTTTATTAATCATGAAACCTTACAGAGGACCTTATGTAGCAATTACTAACCAATTTTTTTATCAAATGAGCACTGTTGTAGCTGAAATCTAGCTAACCACACCATACGAATTTTAACGGATTCCACATGCATTGTCGTTGGATTTTAGATTTTGTACAGTTGAAATCACACAGTTAACTTATTTTGGTTGATTTGAAATGTTCTGGCAGCTTACAAACTGTTTAATATATTACTACTGTATAGCAGTTCATGACAGTTTGTATATCAACTCCCTTCGGATCGACTTTCGTACCACGTTTTGCAATGCAACACAACCGGCCTAGCATTCTCCCGACCCGTCAGTAAAACCAGTATTTGCGAATTTGCAACTGCTTCAGTAAGTAGCTATAAAGTATAACTAACAGGTTCAATAAAATCTTGAAATGATATAACTTGATCAGCCTCCTTTTCACACTTTCCTTAACGGTCTCAAACTAAATTCTCGCATCAATCGTTGGCTTTGAATTTTCCTCAGCTGTTTTTGCTGCAGTTTTAGTAGAGAATTCAACAACTTGTATTTGGCAACTAATCGTCTGGACGCTTTCTAATCAACGTGAATGGGTCGGTCGGAACAATTTCCTTCAATTTGAGCTCTGACTTGTGACAATTCGTCACCAAATCGCGAGTTTCTTACCTCAGTAAGACTGTCTTTCATTGAGCTCTATTTCTATCGCCTTTTTTTCTAATCAATTAGCCCGTTGCCGCTTTCCGCACAATGGAAGTGCCAAAACTTCAAAGTGATGGAAACTTTATTGACAATTCGACAGACACACCGCAATTTTCAAATCGTTCCAAACTCGTACTTATCGTAATAAACGTCAAACTGAAAACGGAAGCTATTGAACAATACATGGCCCTCCATTTCAAAAACACCTTTCCCCAAAATGAGCACGAGAACATGTAATTTTAACCGGAATTCCAAGCGTTTTTAGTCGGGAAACATCTGGAAACCGTTTGGGAGCAATGAGAACATTTGATCACCCTAAGCGCTTCCGACTCGAGAAGGGTCACTCCGCCACTACCGTCGGTCGGCGGTGTGTGTTAAATGTTCACTTCAAGACCTTGATGAAAGTCCGTCAGTTGATATGTCATGGATAGCGAATTGACGCAAGCCCCCTTCGTGTTGAAATGATCACTGCATGATTCCAAAAGTCTACCAAGGGGACAACAGACGTCAGATCTTAACATTTTAGACATTTTTTTCAGGTTCCAACTGAGTTTCGATGTAAACATACAAAGTTAATATTTCTTTGCAATGTCGCGGATTTGTGTCAGTTTACGCTGTAAAATAAATAGATTTCTTATGAGAGTAGGCGTAAACACAAGAAGCCATGTAATAAAGTATTCAACATAGTGGACAACTTAAATACTGAATTACTACTTTCCGATTCATTTTTAATACAACGACGAGTTTTTTAAATATTTCCCTCTCTTTAATTAACCCTCGGGTCTTGCTTAACTTGTTCAGTCATTTAATTTGGCGGTTACCCATTTCAAATGCGAAATTCCAAAAGACAAAATAGTACTAGCCCTATTACCAAAGTCAGAATACCTCCAAATATGTGCCTTCTTGTTTTTGTTTACTGAGGTTCAAGTGTTTGTTTGCATTTGTTTATATTTACCCGTTTGTTTTCATCAGCGAGTACCGACGCCAGAGCATGAAGAACTTGCAATTAGTTTTGATAGTTGCGTCCATTCCAATGCATGTCTCCCACTGCTGCCGTGCCACTCTCGCCCCCTTGACGATAAGAACTGATTTAATGATAATTTAATTTTGTTGTACACAGCATAAAACGTTGTGATAAGCCTCAAGATGACCGCTCATTAAAATCTTAAACAACAATGAGCCCCAGTAATTTTCTTTTCAGCTGCCCGTAAAGAGGAAATGAACGCCATTGATTTCTGCTCGAATGCATTTCCACTTTGAAGCATCACACGGTACATCTTTGCAGGACTCAGTTGTTCACCGTTGGGAAACTCTATTCTCAAGAAACATTTTTTTGCAGAACAAGTAAGCCAGTTATCACGTATTTCAGAAGTTCAAGGAAAAAAAAAACAATTGACAACGAATGTCGAATTTCCAACGCAGGTCAACAAGGGGACCAATGGGTAGTCCCATGGGTCCATAAAGAGGTATCATGATAAGCAGGTTTATATTTCATGAGAACGATTTTTGCCGCATTAAATACTTCTTAAATTAGACAAGGAAAAATGCCCTCGATAACTATGTTAAAAAAAATTCTATAGCAAAGCGCAATTATTTGGTTGTAGAGATAATTATCCACAAATCGATAACTAGATGTTCAACAAGTTCTTGTCGAAAACGGTGTAAATTTAACAACATTTGCAAAAATTAGGAAAGAGTATTTCAGCTATTTACGACACTATTTCTCCTCAATTAAAAGCAAAAAGGGACCGTCTGATAATCTTCTCAGATTAAAACTCAATTTAAAATGAACAGGACTTGCCACCAGATTTTAAATCATAGATATGTTGCTCACACACATATCAAATCAGGCGGCAGTTTTGCCAACGCCTTTCAGAGACGCGAGTGCAATAAAGACGCCGCATTCACAAGATTAAAATAAATTGCTTCGCCCTGTTGATTCAGAAAACACGAAAAATAAACTAGACGTGTTATGTATCATTGAAACCACTTCAGCAACCAAGAAAAGGCCAGGGGCCGATTCAATCGAACTGAGGCAATCTTTTACCCGCGCAGAGCAGATGGAAAACGCGATATTGTCTCATCCGTATAGCTTTCGACCAAAAATCTAAAAATGATGAGACATTATTTCCTAGGCTAAACTTAATTCATTTAGCATCTGATAAAGGCGGCAAGCTCAAAGAAAACGTTTATCATAAGTCTACGGATTGCAGACGATATTTATTTTTCGTGTGGTAGGCATTACCGACAAATATCTATATTTTGTGAGAGATTCATCCGGCTGCAAATTTTCCTATTTTCCAGCCTAGCCAACGATTAACGGCTAATGGTTTCCCAACGAGATTTAAAACCGCGCTGAAGCAATCGGGCGAAGTTTGGAAATGTACTTAATTCAGAGGCAGGGGCCGTGTCATGCCCGCATGTCTCAGGTCCCCGAAATCGACCACTTGTAACAACTGTGTATCAACTGACATAAAAACCCTGTGCGCCTGACTTGCAAACGCGCATCTATGGAATATCGATTACGCGAACCGTGCATGACATAAACAGTCGCCGTTTGATCTAAAAACACATGTAACAGTGGCGGAAATCAAATTATTAATCAGCAGTTGCTGCTGGTGCTTCAGAGAATCGGGAACATGTACACAAGAAGCTTCGGGTACGGTAGCCAAAGCTATGGCCATTACAACCCTCAGTACCACATTCCACAGCAAAACTCACCGCACCATCCATCGTATCAACCGTACATTTATAACGCTCCCCGTTACGGATTTAACGCGTTCACTCGCGCCAACCCAGCTCCGTTCAACCACATTTCACCATCACCTTCGGCGATTCATTACCCAGGAGAATCGCGCATGCCAGACCTTGCAGGTCCAAGACAAAGCTACGAAGCGCACTGCCATTACTACTCGCCTCCTTCCCTTCCTCCGCAGCCTGTTACTCAGCCGCCAGAGCCAGCGAATCAGAGAGAGAAGGAAGCAGACAACGGCTTAAACGAAGGAAGCGCCAGCGAGAAATTAGCGGAGAATTGCTACCCAGGTAAATGAGCGGAGGTGGTTTAATTTGTAATTGCAGTTTTGTGCTTAGCACCCTATAAAGTGCAGTCAGTGTGTAACGCCAGATTATGGGCTTAAGGATACGATTATTGTCTTAGAAGATACATGATTTTGATTGCTGTAGATTGCTCATCATATTATAGTTAAGAGTGTATTATAACTGCATTTTCCCTAATGTTACTTGATTGAAATTTGATGGAAGTTTCGCGGATTTCCCGGTTCATATAAANTACCTCTTTAAGGTCCGCTAAAGACGTTCATTGACACAAAACCACAGAGGGAGTTGTCTCCTTTTAGCACTGAGGCAAATATCAACGGAAAACAACACTGCTCGACCACAAAAATGTTGATTTTAGCGGAGTTCTAAAGAAGCGGTTAGGAAGGGAGGGCTTCAAAAGGCACCGAACTTCATCCCGACAAAGTCAGACCCCATGACACACTGTTCAGACAATTGCTGAGCTACCTTCCTGCACACCAGAGGAGTTTTTTGAATAGTCCTCAGTTTAGTAAAGCCAAACTAGCCAGCAACAGCTAGATTACAGAAAAGACTTGGCGAGACTTTATCACCAAATAACTGTTTAACGGCAGCGCGTACTAAAACAAACGTCAACTAAGGAGGCCCATCTGAAAGTCATCAAAATGACGTTTCTACATATTTCGGTTTCAAAAATTACAACAGACAGCACAGGTTTCTCCTAATTTGTTTACGCAACTTTGAATGTTGAATGGGCAAAACAGTTTGATAAGGATTTGTCTTCTTGCTACAGACTTACTATAGAAATAAGAGAAATGGAAACGCTCTGAGTAAATACGATTAGAGGGACAAATGCCCCGAGGCAAAGTTGAAAGATGAGTGATAATCTTTGTTCAGTATACGTGCGTTTGTTGACTGGAGGTTGGAGAGAGAAGTTTCAGAAAAAAATAAAAGAAACTTCCTTTGTAAGCTGCTAACTTCTGTTTTTCCTTCTTTGCCAAGAATATGAGATGTGCTGCTTTGCATTCACTTCTTTTATCTAGATATATACCTGGCACAATTTCAGTTGTCGATAACCTTCAATTAAGCATTTTATTCCTGCAACCAACACCCGCAAGGCGTCCTTCAAACCGTATGCATAATATCAGAAAATGCCCCTTGTAAAATTCTGACCTCAAAATTTGTTCTGAAGTTGAAGTTTGGCTTCTGTACTAAGCTGCTGCCTCGACTGGCGAATACACAGAGCTGCCCAAAAAGTTAATGTGCCAAACTGGTGTCTTGTTTAGATTCTTAGATGTACGTCACAAGAACAAAGTACAGAGCAAACCGTTCGGCCAGGATATGGCAAAATACTATTAAGCGTACTCAAAACGTAGTAAGCAATCTTTTGAAAGTCAGTAGTCAAACAAATTCGTCAATAGATACACAAATCTCGGCAGTGTTCAGTCTCACTAGCTGGCCATTTCATTTAGGAACTTCAGGCTGACCCTCTACACTACTTACACTCTGCCGCGTCACCAGGTTCGTCAGAGCGCCTTCCTTCATCGGTTTTCACGGCGGCTTCCTTTTTCTCCGGGATCATTGATCAGGAGGACTCTTTCTGCTTCGTTGTGCGACCACTACGACCACTTAACCATCCTCCTCTTCGATCTGCGCCGCGAAGAGATACTAGACACTTATGCTGCGCTCAAGCATGCATATAGAGTCTGTGTTTTGAGTTATAAGCACTCAAAACAAAAACCTAGACTGGAAAGGCCATTAAAAAGCCACAGCAGAGATTTTCCGTTTAAATGACTTTAACATCTGATTTAATTTCTTGTGAGTGGATCAAAAAGAAGTTGATTTTGTAGACACCCTGTCGCGCCTCCCAGCATTCGCCGACTTAAGCTGTTTTCGTGTTCTCTTTGTTTTTTTTGCACAGATTCACCTTCTTCGGAGGAAAAAACGAGAGCATCCACTGACAGCAAGAAGCGGAAAGAAAGAACAGCTTTCACGAAACATCAGCTCGAAGAGCTTGAAAACGAATTTCTTCGCAACAATTACCTGACAAGATTGCGGCGGTACGAGATTGCGGTGAGTTTGGACTTGACCGAGAGACAGATAAAGGTTTGGTTTCAAAATAGACGAATGAAGTGGAAGCGAATCAAGGGCAAACCGCTCCAAAAGAAGAGTAGTTATTCCGTTGAGCTGGCTGAGAGAGAAACGGCAACTTAATTACAGTAACAAAGAGAAACGAAATGAACTGTGATCTAGCCTCTTGGCTTGTTTGAAAAAAGAAAAAGAAACTGTATTTGGATGGACTATGAAATGAAGGAGAGAAAGGCTAAGCTTAAATTCAAGCATTATTTAGAAGTTTGAGCAAACAAAGGACAAAAGTACATTTTTGATCATGGACAAAAGAGGAAACATATGTAAATGACAAATCACTGGCAATTCATCTTTGTCATTTAAAGTAACTGAAATGCCTTAAAACAATTGGCTACAGTTTTCGGATGGAATTGTGATAAGAAAAAGCAGCGGTGGAAAAAGAAATGCAACTGCCTGGATTTCTGGCTGGTTATTTTTTGCAAATTAAATTTGCAAATTAAATTTGCAAATTCCCCACTGGAAAAATCATTTTTTCATGGCATGACTTCCGAATGTGTTAAACAAAACTCCAATCCTTTATTTTGCCTCGCAGAATGGCACATTTTTATTTGTAGGTAAAAAGCGCTGCGTTTTACAGTTAGGTAACTGGTGACTGTATAGTTCGTATTCAGAGAAATAATTTTCCTCAAAGCTGAATTCGCTGCATAAAGGTTCGAGTTTCTTCGTAATGTTCTCGTCCAATGTGATTTAATGTAGATAGGCCAAGTTTTTGAGAGACTGAGTTGTTTCGCTTGTTTTTGCATGTATTATTTTGTTGTTGTTGTCTCCCTCAGGATTTTTCTTGTTCACCTTGAACAACAAAGTTCGTATATAACGTCCAACTAAAGCTTGATGCGTAACAAAGATGAGCCATTCCGTGCAGTCAACGTTTATTAATCATGAAACCTTACAGAGGACCTTATGTAGCAATTACTAACCAATTTTTTTATCAAATGAGCACTGTTGTAGCTGAAATCTAGCTAACCACACCATACGAATTTTAACGGATTCCACATGCATTGTCGTTGGATTTTAGATTTTGTACAGTTGAAATCACACAGTTAACTTATTTTGGTTGATTTGAAATGTTCTGGCAGCTTACAAACTGTTTAATATATTACTACTGTATAGCAGTTCATGACAGTTTGTATATCAACTCCCTTCGGATCGACTTTCGTACCACGTTTTGCAATGCAACACAACCGGCCTAGCATTCTCCCGACCCGTCAGTAAAACCAGTATTTGCGAATTTGCAACTGCTTCAGTAAGTAGCTATAAAGTATAACTAACAGGTTCAATAAAATCTTGAAATGATATAACTTGATCAGCCTCCTTTTCACACTTTCCTTAACGGTCTCAAACTAAATTCTCGCATCAATCGTTGGCTTTGAATTTTCCTCAGCTGTTTTTGCTGCAGTTTTAGTAGAGAATTCAACAACTTGTATTTGGCAACTAATCGTCTGGACGCTTTCTAATCAACGTGAATGGGTCGGTCGGAACAATTTCCTTCAATTTGAGCTCTGACTTGTGACAATTCGTCACCAAATCGCGAGTTTCTTACCTCAGTAAGACTGTCTTTCATTGAGCTCTATTTCTATCGCCTTTTTTTCTAATCAATTAGCCCGTTGCCGCTTTCCGCACAATGGAAGTGCCAAAACTTCAAAGTGATGGAAACTTTATTGACAATTCGACAGACACACCGCAATTTTCAAATCGTTCCAAACTCGTACTTATCGTAATAAACGTCAAACTGAAAACGGAAGCTATTGAACAATACATGGCCCTCCATTTCAAAAACACCTTTCCCCAAAATGAGCACGAGAACATGTAATTTTAACCGGAATTCCAAGCGTTTTTAGTCGGGAAACATCTGGAAACCGTTTGGGAGCAATGAGAACATTTGATCACCCTAAGCGCTTCCGACTCGAGAAGGGTCACTCCGCCACTACCGTCGGTCGGCGGTGTGTGTTAAATGTTCACTTCAAGACCTTGATGAAAGTCCGTCAGTTGATATGTCATGGATAGCGAATTGACGCAAGCCCCCTTCGTGTTGAAATGATCACTGCATGATTCCAAAAGTCTACCAAGGGGACAACAGACGTCAGATCTTAACATTTTAGACATTTTTTTCAGGTTCCAACTGAGTTTCGATGTAAACATACAAAGTTAATATTTCTTTGCAATGTCGCGGATTTGTGTCAGTTTACGCTGTAAAATAAATAGATTTCTTATGAGAGTAGGCGTAAACACAAGAAGCCATGTAATAAAGTATTCAACATAGTGGACAACTTAAATACTGAATTACTACTTTCCGATTCATTTTTAATACAACGACGAGTTTTTTAAATATTTCCCTCTCTTTAATTAACCCTCGGGTCTTGCTTAACTTGTTCAGTCATTTAATTTGGCGGTTACCCATTTCAAATGCGAAATTCCAAAAGACAAAATAGTACTAGCCCTATTACCAAAGTCAGAATACCTCCAAATATGTGCCTTCTTGTTTTTGTTTACTGAGGTTCAAGTGTTTGTTTGCATTTGTTTATATTTACCCGTTTGTTTTCATCAGCGAGTACCGACGCCAGAGCATGAAGAACTTGCAATTAGTTTTGATAGTTGCGTCCATTCCAATGCATGTCTCCCACTGCTGCCGTGCCACTCTCGCCCCCTTGACGATAAGAACTGATTTAATGATAATTTAATTTTGTTGTACACAGCATAAAACGTTGTGATAAGCCTCAAGATGACCGCTCATTAAAATCTTAAACAACAATGAGCCCCAGTAATTTTCTTTTCAGCTGCCCGTAAAGAGGAAATGAACGCCATTGATTTCTGCTCGAATGCATTTCCACTTTGAAGCATCACACGGTACATCTTTGCAGGACTCAGTTGTTCACCGTTGGGAAACTCTATTCTCAAGAAACATTTTTTTGCAGAACAAGTAAGCCAGTTATCACGTATTTCAGAAGTTCAAGGAAAAAAAAAACAATTGACAACGAATGTCGAATTTCCAACGCAGGTCAACAAGGGGACCAATGGGTAGTCCCATGGGTCCATAAAGAGGTATCATGATAAGCAGGTTTATATTTCATGAGAACGATTTTTGCCGCATTAAATACTTCTTAAATTAGACAAGGAAAAATGCCCTCGATAACTATGTTAAAAAAAATTCTATAGCAAAGCGCAATTATTTGGTTGTAGAGATAATTATCCACAAATCGATAACTAGATGTTCAACAAGTTCTTGTCGAAAACGGTGTAAATTTAACAACATTTGCAAAAATTAGGAAAGAGTATTTCAGCTATTTACGACACTATTTCTCCTCAATTAAAAGCAAAAAGGGACCGTCTGATAATCTTCTCAGATTAAAACTCAATTTAAAATGAACAGGACTTGCCACCAGATTTTAAATCATAGATATGTTGCTCACACACATATCAAATCAGGCGGCAGTTTTGCCAACGCCTTTCAGAGACGCGAGTGCAATAAAGACGCCGCATTCACAAGATTAAAATAAATTGCTTCGCCCTGTTGATTCAGAAAACACGAAAAATAAACTAGACGTGTTATGTATCATTGAAACCACTTCAGCAACCAAGAAAAGGCCAGGGGCCGATTCAATCGAACTGAGGCAATCTTTTACCCGCGCAGAGCAGATGGAAAACGCGATATTGTCTCATCCGTATAGCTTTCGACCAAAAATCTAAAAATGATGAGACATTATTTCCTAGGCTAAACTTAATTCATTTAGCATCTGATAAAGGCGGCAAGCTCAAAGAAAACGTTTATCATAAGTCTACGGATTGCAGACGATATTTATTTTTCGTGTGGTAGGCATTACCGACAAATATCTATATTTTGTGAGAGATTCATCCGGCTGCAAATTTTCCTATTTTCCAGCCTAGCCAACGATTAACGGCTAATGGTTTCCCAACGAGATTTAAAACCGCGCTGAAGCAATCGGGCGAAGTTTGGAAATGTACTTAATTCAGAGGCAGGGGCCGTGTCATGCCCGCATGTCTCAGGTCCCCGAAATCGACCACTTGTAACAACTGTGTATCAACTGACATAAAAACCCTGTGCGCCTGACTTGCAAACGCGCATCTATGGAATATCGATTACGCGAACCGTGCATGACATAAACAGTCGCCGTTTGATCTAAAAACACATGTAACAGTGGCGGAAATCAAATTATTAATCAGCAGTTGCTGCTGGTGCTTCAGAGAATCGGGAACATGTACACAAGAAGCTTCGGGTACGGTAGCCAAAGCTATGGCCATTACAACCCTCAGTACCACATTCCACAGCAAAACTCACCGCACCATCCATCGTATCAACCGTACATTTATAACGCTCCCCGTTACGGATTTAACGCGTTCACTCGCGCCAACCCAGCTCCGTTCAACCACATTTCACCATCACCTTCGGCGATTCATTACCCAGGAGAATCGCGCATGCCAGACCTTGCAGGTCCAAGACAAAGCTACGAAGCGCACTGCCATTACTACTCGCCTCCTTCCCTTCATCCGCAGCCTGTTACTCAGCCGCCAGAGCCAGCGAATCAGAGAGAGAAGGAAGCAGACAACGGCTTAAACGAAGGAAGCGCCAGCGAGAAATTAGCGGAGAATTGCTACCCAGGTAAATGAGCGGAGGTGGTTTAATTTGTAATTGCAGTTTTGTGCTTAGCACCCTATAAAGTGCAGTCAGTGTGTAACGCCAGATTATGGGCTTAAGGATACGATTATTGTCTTAGAAGATACATGATTTTGATTGCTGTAGATTGCTCATCATATTATAGTTAAGAGTGTATTATAACTGCATTTTCCCTAATGTTACTTGATTGAAATTTGATGGAAGTTTCGCGGATTTCCCGGTTCATATAAAATCACTCAATTCAGCAACGAAACCAAGTGGCGAATCGGTCCTCAATCAGTATTTGGACCAATTAGTTTAAACTCGCTTTAAAGGAAGAGAACAGGCCATTGCTTGCGGTAGTATCTTTAATTTGTTCGATGCGGTCAGTGTGGTGAAAGGTGATTCGTCGGACGGCCGCCTACATTGTAGCCTTGCTTGCTCCACTAAAACAAGAACGCGAGAGCAAACTTCAGGTGCAACAACTCAGAAAGCTCTAAAAGCTGATAAAGACATGACTTATACCTTACACTAATCCCCACTCTTACATGGATTTCTTTCTGCATTGTACTGCGGTAAGTCTTAACATGCCTTATTATCAGTTCTCATATTGATAACCAGAAGTTGTAACCAGAAGTTGGCTCTTAAGTGGTGAATCCGTCAAGACTGATAACATAATACTTCCCAAAGGAGACTTATAGTATCTTCCTTCTCCCATCTATCTTCGATCCTAGATATGTATCAAACCCGAGTTTTCTCTTGAAAGAGACTGCAAACGATCCGACTTGAATTGAATAATGTGCTACTATGGATTGGGTGGTAATTTTGTCCCTACGGGAATATTTATCACTAGAAGATCAGTCATTTTAATCATACTGTGTGCTAATTTTCTGCGAATACTAAGTAAATTTGTCATTAAAGGACTGTGATAGAGAGACTTAAGACGGCAAATTCAAGCCTATGTTTTAATCCAAAAACAATATGGTAAAATCAACTTCCTCGTCGATTGAATTTTACTGCAATTTAAAAGAGTTCCTCTCTCAAAAAAGTCTTTATGGTATTTATTGGTTATTAAAGTTGCCCACGATTTTTGCCAAACGAGTGTTTTGAGATGTAAGAATCTGCTAAACGTTGGCCAGCATCGAGTTCTCATTAGGTTTACCTCCAACTGTCAACTTAAAANACTACTTTTTGATTGTCATGTCTTTGAACGAATTCAGTGTTACGAATTGTTAACGAACTGTTCAGTCCTTATAGGTGCCAAAACGCAAGGCTAATGACGAAATTCGACTGAATTCCTTTGAGACCTTTCTCTTAAATCTCGGTAAGGATGATGAGACAAGAAAAAACAAAAACAAAAATCTGAAATCGAACGTTCTTCTTAACTGAACTATTTCCCTTTTAGATACAAAATGCAAACACTGCTATCCATAACATAAGTCCAAAAATAATCCAAAAATGTGTTCGACTGAGTGAGTTTCATCCTTGTGCATGGCATTCTGTTCAGTCTTTCAGAAAGACCAATCTAAAGCAGATACTAAAATAGCTAAGAAACTTTAATAATGTTCTAAACGAATGCTTTCATCAATGAAGAAATACTACCAAAAACTGCATTGGGACACAAGCCCTACGACAACACAAGAAACTACGACTATATGTTTTTGCGTTAAAGATTTCCCTTAGAAATTGCAGCATGGAAATCTCCAATTTTATAACAGTACATTCTTTTGTCCACAGTTGATGAAGTTGATGACGATGAAGACGAAGAAGAGGAAAAATCCGAGAAACCCAAGGGCAAGAAACGAAAAGAAAGGACAGCTTTTACAACACATCAACTACGTGAACTGGAAAACGAATTTGTGCGAAATAACTATCTCACTAGACTGCGAAGGTACGAGATAGCTGTAAGTCTGGACTTATCAGAAAGACAAGTGAAGGTTTGGTTTCAGAATAGGAGAATGAAATGGAAAAGGGTCAAAGGAGAGAAGAAACCGGAGAAGAAATCACCGTTTCAGATAATGCAGCTTGAAAAGGAAAGATTGCAGCAAGAATCCTGTACGTAGCGTATAAGCTAAGCTCCAAATTACAATCTGTTTTATCAGCGTGTTGGTGACATAGCTGGTAATTAGACGAAAAGTCCAAGGCTAACAGCTACAGCACTAATATTCAGTCTGCTTTTTTGTTTTGTTTTTTCCTGGCAAATCTCAACTTTTTTAGTACCCTGGTGCAGAGTTTCTCTGCTTCTTTTTTTCCTATAACGAGAGAAAAACGAAGAAAAAGCCCTCTAGGTCCTAGCAAAAGATCGCATTATTTACTTTTCGAGACTGAAGATCAGTACGGTCTAAAACAGTTAGTTCGTTTTTTCTTTTTTAATATCAAACGCATTTTTGACAACTCCAAATTAAATAAATTATACATTTCTTGACGTAGAATGTTTACAGTTTAGAGATGTCTTGTCAATTTCACTGCATGTAAGACCTGAGGGCTTACATACATGCAGCGCATTTGTCTCAACAAGGATGTGTAGATCTGCTGTGATATTTCCTTGGCACTCTAAGAACCGTCAGCAGTAACAAGCCATGTGTATGATAAATTCTCAGAAACAAATGTAAACAACGCAGTGTTTATACTATAGGTTGTTAGGGGCAATGTATCTATATCCCGGTCCGTTCATCGTGCCATAACAAGTCGTAAAATGACCTTGTCTGGGTCAGACTACAGTTCAGTGTTTGAATAACTCCACACCACCGTGAGGTTACAGTGTTTCAAATTAAGCAAGCGTATTTTCCAGTGTGAAGACTGAAGTATAACGACCAGCCTAAGCAAGTTATAACGATCTTTATTTTATTAGTAATACAGACAATTCATGCAATTTCCACTTTTATTTGGCAAAAAATAACTTTCATGTTGATGGCGTCATAACCAACATCAAAATTACCAGAGCCAGTAAAGACAGTGTTTGAAGAAAATTAGCTAAAATCAATATCAGGAACTAGACTCGAGCAATCAAGTACTCCTATTAAAGAGTGATAGCTTTCTTTAAAATGTTAATTAATCTGTTAGCTTATTATGTTATATGACTCCTTTCATAGTAAAGACATAGATAATATTGTCAACCAATGCCACTGAGCTACGCAGTGCTCACATAACTGAGATGACAACGTCCGACCTTTCCTAAAATAGTAAGTTAATAGCCTTAATTTCAAAGGCCAGGTCACACTATATTGGGCAGTTTTTCAAATATTCAAAACAACTGCATACCAAGCAAGGTTTTTCTAAGTAAACATGATTTCTGTCCCAGTTGTTTGGTAAGGCATGAGCATGTCCTGTGACTTAATTTCTGTTTGTATTCGATTCGGCTATTCAACAATTTAAAGCCATTATTTAAAGGTGTGAGTCAAGTTTATTTGACACCGAATCTTC